AAGACACTGGTATGAATGGATGTTTGTGCAAACGAGACACCGCTATCAACGGATGCAGCCTGAAACGAAACTCTTGTGTCAATGAGTAGGGGCACGGACTCGTAAGACCTGAGTTCCCACCGGAGTGGTCGGCGAAGGCATAGATGATGATAATGTGATGATTGAGGATGATGATGGGATGATGACGGCGCTACTTCGATTTGTTTTGTCTGTCCGTCTCGGGCTTCCAATCAACTCTTGGAAGACATCTGGGAAACAGCAGAGGAGCGCGCTGCTGCAGGCTGAGAAGCATCGCAGAAACTCGCAGGCTGAGAAGCACCGCGGCCGCACAGTCCTACTACTGCTGCGGGTCTGCGGAGCACCGCGGCCGCACAGTCTTATTACTATTGCAAGTACGCAGGCTGAGGAGCACCGGGGTCACGCGGGCTCCGATACCTCACTTGTCCTGCTCGTCTTGGAGGAACTCGCGCCGATCTGGCGGCTGCCAACTATCGAGTATGCGCCGGGAGCCACCGCCCGTGCTGCCGCCGATGTCGAGGTAGTCTCCGCGCGCGGAGAGCAGCCGGCCATGTCCTACCGCCAGAATCGCCTTGTTCCTGTTGTCTAGCAACTCGCCGCTCTCCCACTTCTGCAGCGCGTCCAACTGCCTGCGCGTGAAAGTGGCCACCTCCTGGCCATGGGTCGCAGGCTGAGAAGCACCGCGACGCTGAAGCTCTCGCTGGTGGCGGGCGAGCCGGTTACCCTCGTTGTAGCGCCCAATCGCTTCAGCTTTGTTGTGGTGGAGTCGACGACGCTGTTCGTGTGAGACTTCGTCACGATCGGCTGGCTCTGCAGTTCCGGCACTGGGCTCGATGTGCAAGGCTTGGCGGAGCATGTCAACGTCGAAGCGGCCGGAGAAGGCCAGCACCTCCCAGATCTGCTTTGTGCCGCAAACGCGTTGCAGATGCCGGCGCCGCCGCTTGCGCTTCTGTTCTCTGACGAACTTGGCGAGGCCCCCTTTGCCTGCCGCTTCGGCCAGGCTACCTTTGCCAGCAGGCTGAGAAGCACCGCGATGACCTTTGCGGCCGCCTGGTCCTTTGCTCGCAGGCTGAGGAGCACCGCGAGCACCTTGTGGAGGTGTCTTGCCTTTCGCTTTCCCTTTCTCGACATCTCGGTCCTGCAGCGCAAGCTGGTGGTCGGTCTGCTCGTACTCCGCTCGAGCAAGTTTGACGAGTTCCCCGCGCTCAGCCTCGGTGAGGACGTGGCGCAAGTTGGTGATGTTCTTGCTCCGCAGGAACTCATGGCGAACTCGGAGGACAGAAAGTATGGCTCGGGCAGCCTGCGACGCGAAGTCGGTGTCATAGTCTGAGCTAGGCTGAGGAGCACCAGCTGGATCTCCATCCGGAGGCTGCGCGGACGCCCTCTTCTTGAACAGCAGAAGGCTCAGGTGGTGGAGGAGTTTGGGGTCGTAATCCAAGTCGTACCTCTGGTCCCAATGCTCCCTCATCTCCTTGCGCAGGTCCTGCGCGCGCTGGCTAGCTTCATCCTCGGGCTTGTCGCAGGCTGTCCCGTCGGCCTCGGACGTCGGCGACGGCGGAGGAGGGGTGCTCGGCGACCGGGGCCAGGTGGCCCCGGCCTCGGCCTCGGCTTCAGAGTCGCCGACGGCGTCAGACAATTCTTCGAAGGCAATCTTCCGTCTCTTTGCCTCCCCAGGCTGAGAAGCACCGGGGAGGGTGATCACGACCGCCACAGCATCGTGTGAGTCGTTGCGCATGCCACGGTCCAGGTACGACGCGCCAACAGCGACGGGCCGGAAACGCGCGACGGTTCCGCAGACCGCCACGTTGTCGCCTTGGCGGTCTGCCGGTGAGGCGAAGACTTCCCACAACGCCTCGTCGTCAGTGTGCTGCTGCAAAGCTTCGCGCGCCTGCCGGGAGTTCAAGTTGTTGTCGCCGACCATGATGCGCGCGACCGGCGTGCCCATCTCCGGGGCCTCGAGGTCGTCCAAGTGGAGTCGGAGCAGCCTCACTGCGCGCTGTCTCGTGAGAGTGCTGGGAGGGTTCCCGGCGCAAGCGATGTGCATATTGCCAGTGGCCACGTGCACTCTGCCGTGACCGCTTGTCTCCACATCGAACCGTGCCATCACAGCATCCACCTGGCGTCCGATGGGGACGTGGTAGATATGCGTGTCCCCGTGCAGGGGCACGACGGCAGGCTGAGAAGCACCGCCGAAGCCCCACAGGCTCAAGTAGTTGTCGACCTCGGCGAAGCGAACGCTGTCGCCGAACGGCTTGGTGAGGATGTCTTGCACGTTGATTATTGCTTTCCTCAGGCCTTGGCGAAACGCGCCGACCTCACACGCAAACAATAGGTCAGCATCAGCGTCCTCGACGATCGTGGCGCACACGCGCCCGAAGTTGGAGCAGTGAGTGATGCACTTCTTCCCGGACATCGCCGCTGTGAAACAAGCAGGCTGAGGAGCACCGCTTGCAGGCGCGGCCGCAGGCGCGCCTCGGTCTTCCTCCGCAGGCTGAGAAGCACCGCGAGAAGCCGAGGCTGCGGACGAGCCTCGCGGCACAAGGAGAGCCATTGCAATGTAGATCGCGCAGGAACGGCCAAAAGGGATGCACATCCTGAACCAAAGACGGCTGTCACCTGCAGGGAGGGACGGTCAGCGAAGGCGAAAGTACCGATACTGTTCTTCGTTTTGGAGAGCCCTCGTCGCCACGGCTGAATTCGTCTTGAAATTCTGGTCGTTCCCCGGCGGCATCGGTGCATATTTTTTCGTCCCTGAGAGAGGGGACCCAGAAATCCGATGTCATGAAATAAGACGTGGCGGGAATGGAGTTTTGGAAACTCGAAGACCACGAAGTGGCCTACAGTTGGCTCCGGGCATCCAAAATGTACGCCGGGAATGGAGTTCTGGGAACTCGCAGACCACGAAGTGGCCTACAGTTGGCTCCGGGCATCCAACATGTACGCCGGGAATGGAGTTCTGGGAACTCGAAGACCACGAAGTGGCCTAAGTTGGCTCCGGGCATCCAACATGTACGCCGGGAATGGAGTTCCAGCAGCGCCAAGAGCGATTTTGCGAGGATGTCCCAAACGATTTGGGCTTCGGCGGCAGCCGCCCCGGGTCCCGCCCCGACCCCCCTGAGGAGTCATGATGCTCTTTTTTGACACCACTAGAGACCCATCAATTTTCACTGTTACATAATTTTGGGTGGGTCGCGGGATGGGTCGCGGGGTGGGTCGCGGGTGGGTCGCGGTGGGTCGCGGGTGGGTCGCGGGTGGGTCGCGCGGTGGGGGTCGCGGGTGGGTCGCCGGGGGTCTCGGGGTGGGTCGCGGGCGGGTCGCCGGGTGGGTCGCGGGTGGGTCGCGGGTGGGTCGCGGGTGGGTCGCGGGTGGGTCGCGGGGTGGGTCGCGGGGTGGGTAGCGGTTGGGTCGCGGGGTGGGCCGCGGGTGGTCGCGGGGTGGGTCGCGGGTGGGTCGCGGGTGGGTCGCGAGGTGGGTCGCGGGTGGGTCGCGGGGCGGGTCGCGGGTGGGACGACGACAACAACAACAACAATAACAACAACAACAACAACATCAACAACAACAACAACACCAACAACAACACCAACAACAACAACAACAACAAACAACAAGCAACAAGCAACAAACAACAAACAACAACAATAATCCGCATCGCGGAATTCCACTTCAGCCACGCACCCAGGGACTCTGATATAGGTATGTGTGCGTACATATGTATGTATGTATGTATACATGCATGCATGTATGTATGTATGTACGGATGAATGAATGCAGGAATGCATGCATGAATGCATGCATGCATGCATGCATGCATGTATGTATGTATGTATGTATGTATGTGTGGATTTATGTATGCGTGTATGTATGCATGTATGTATGTATGTATGCATTCATACATGCATGCATGCATGCATGCATGCATGTCTGTCTGTCTGTCTGTCTGTCTGTCTGTCTGTCTGTATGTATGTATGTATGTATGTGTGTAATTGTGTATGTGTGTATGCGTGTATGTGTGTATGTGTGTGTAATTGTATAGTTGTACATGCATATATGTATACACACAGAGTTTGGCATTTCTCATGTTTGGCCTTCCGACGGCCCAAAACGGCCCATGATGTTTCCAAGATCGCCCCAAGATCAGCCAAGAGGCCTGCAAGATTGTCCAATTCTCGGCCCAAGAGGCCCCCAAGACGGCCCACAGACGGCCCAAGAAGCTTCAAGACGCTCAAGATGGCCTCCAAGACGGCCCAAGATGCAGCGATGATGGCCTAAGATGGACTCAGGATGGCCTCAGAGGCCTCCGAGAGGCCTCCAAGATGTCCTCCAGGAAGTCCTGAAGATGCCCAACTCAATGATTTCCCTTAGATGTTTGAGAGATTGTGGCGTTTGCTCATTTCGGCGTTCGCATGGCGCCAAGAGCGCTCAAGAGGCCTCCGAGATGCCCCGTTGAAGACCCCAAGAGGGCTCTGAGACGGCCCAGGAGACCTCACAGACGTCCAAAGTGGGTGTTCAAGACGACCCTGAAGCGCCCCAAGAGGGCCCCAAGTCGGCCAAGAGAGGCCCGCAAGACAGCTTCCGACGGCGTCAGACGGGCCAGGAACGCCCTCAGACGGTGAAAGAACCTCCCAGGGAGTCTCCAAAAGGCCCCAAAGAGCTCCAAGGCGGCCCCCAAGAGGTCTCCAAGAGGCCCCCAGGAGGCCACAAGAGTGCCCCAAAAGGCTCCCAAGAGGCCTCGTCCTCCCCTCCCTCCCTCTCCTCCTCCGCCTCCTCCTCCTCCTCCTTCTCCTCCTCCTCCATCTCATCCTTTTTCCTCCCTCTCCTCCTCTTCTTTTTTCTCCCCCTTGTGTTCCCCAAAATGTTTTCACAACTGCTTGGGGAGCATGTGGTCCGATAGCTTGGTCGAGCGCCGGCCGCAGCGTTCGGCCACACATGCTCTTTGAAAAGGCAGGGGGTCGCGGTGACTCGCCGTAGGCGTCTTAGATGGCGACATAAAGGTGCTTCAGCCAGCTGCAAAGGAGGCCATGGACAGACGGGTCGAAATCAGGAATCCTCCTGGAGTCGGCAGCGTCGAGGATCCCACAATGTTTCATGTAGGCGTACACCAAGTTCCACAACTGGGCGTTGCGACCCCCAGTCGTGCCCGCGCCAGCCATGTCCCCGAACGGGTTCACAATGAATACGTCCGAGAACTCGAGGCCCTTGCACTCGTCGATCGTCATAACGATCGACTCGGGGAATCGCGCACGCACGTGGGACTTGGCCAGCTCGTTCCAAACGAGCACCGCCTGCCGAGCACCGAATTCCAGGATTCTCTGGCCGTCCTGCACGCCCTGCTGCCGCCCGAAGACGATGTCGAGGGCCTCGTTGAAAGAGCACCCGTGGATGAAAACGGGCAGCGATTTCGCGTCGACCTTGGAAACCTCGCGGGGGAGCTTGTCGATCTTGTCCTCGAAAAAGTGCAAGATGATGTCGATGACAGAGCCAGCAAGGTCAACGATGCCGCGCATGCTTCGGTGGTTGTGTGTGAGGTGATGCACTTTCGGAAGCCTGTCCAGCGCCGTGAATTCTGTGTGACGGTCTTGGTCGCGTTCTGGCGTGCCCTGGCTGGCGTCATCGGTGGCCTCTGCGGTAATCTTGGATTCTTTCATGACGAGGTGACATAGAGGGCACGACAGTCTTCCCCGGGCGCGGGAGAACTCCATCTTTGCAAGGACGCCCTTGGTGGCTCCTTTGGAAGCATCCTCGCATCTCTTTTCGAAGGCGGCTACGCATTCGTCGCCACAAAGATGCGCTGTGTGCGCTGTGAACTTGGAATGGCATTCGTACGTTGTCCCATCGTGAATGCTGGTTCCGCACAGTGTGCACATCAGTGTCTCCTTAGTCGGTGCAGGTTCGTCGAGCCACTCTTTCCAGTGGAGGAACTCCTCAAAGAACAACCGGCGGATGCTTTCAAAGCGGAACTCGACGCCTTTGCTGATGGTCTGCGCTGTGTCACCAGCAAACACCCAGCAATTGGTGTGCTCGCAGAAGATGCGGCACAAGAGAATCTCAATGGGCAACAGGTCCTGCACCTCATCGAGAAAGATCGCCGAGAACATTCGGAGCTCTTGATTGCGATGTTTGCGAGGGTCTACTCCTTGCTTCACGAGCCATGATGACCACCTTCGCAAGCGCTGCATCATGTGGCGCACAGGATCCGTGCGATCGTACTTGCCTGCTTGCTTCTTCAACTTCGTGTAAATCTCGAAGGCGGAATAAATTCTTTTTCGTGCCGCCTGTTCGTGCACGGCGGAATCACGTAGCTCGGGCAACCCCACGCCGTCTGAATCGCAACCAGTGACGTACTCGTGACTGCTTAAGAACCCTCTGCTTGACCGGATAGCGTGCAGGCTGCCAGCGATCACCGTGAGGAACTCCTTGTACACCACGAACAGAGAGTCTGTCTTCCACAGAACGCTCATCAATTTGTGGCCGAACTGTGCCTCGAAATTCGCCGACCCTCTGGGGTTCACCGGCGTGTTAGATGTCCCTCCCAGAGCCCCTCATCTCCTTCCTCTGAGAGCCCAGCCCAAGAGGCCCCCTAAGACGCTCCAAGGGGACCCCAGGAGGACCCCCAAGAGTGCGTCCAGATGCCAAGATAATTCCCCAAACAGCTTGCTGAACGGGGTGCTGTTGTGATAGAAGCTAACTCCGGCCGAGGGAAAGCTAAGCAGAGACATCTTCAAACAAATGTGGTGGTCCGGCCCGTTTCGCCTGAGACATCCTCACAACTCTCGTTTCTGAGTTGTCCGGGATTGAGCGTTTCGCCTGAGACATCCTCCTAAATCTGAGCTCTGAGAGGCCGCGCGAGAGGTGGTCCGGCCCGTTTCGCTTGAGACATCCTTCAAACTCTGAGCTCCCAGATGCCGCGCGAGAGGTGGTCCGGGCCGTTTCGCCTGAGACATCCTCGCCACTCTGAGCTCTGAGATGCCGCGCGCGAGGTGCTCCGGCCCGTTTCGCCTGAGACATCCTCGAAACTCTGATCTTCCCGAAGCCGTGCGCGAGGTGGTCCGGCCCGTTTCGCTTGAGACATCCTCCAAACTCTGAGCTTCCAGATGCCGCGCGAGAGGTGGTCCAGCCCATTTCGCCTGAGACATCCTCGAAACTCTGAGCTCCAAGATGCCGCGCGAGAGGTGGTCCGGCCCGTTTCGCCTGAGATACCCTCGAAACTCTGATCTCCCCGATGCCGCGCGCGAGGTGGTCCGGCCCGTTTCGCTTGAGACATCCTCGAAACTCTGAGCTCTGAGATGCCGCGCAAGAGGTGGTCCAGCCCGTCTCGCCTGAGACATCCTCGCAACTCTGAGCTCTGAGATGCCGTGCGCAAGGTGGTCCGGCCTGTTTCGCACAAGACGTTCCCGCAACTCTGAGCTCCCAGATGCCGCGCAAGAGGTGGTCCAGCCTGGGGGCCCAGAAGACCACATGTTACATATCCTCCCTGGGACCCTGGGAGCCCGCCTGAGACATCCTCAAACTTCTGAGCTCTGAGATGCCCTGCGCGAGGTGGTCCGGCCCGTCTCGCTTGAGACATCCTCGCAACTCTGAGCTCTGAGATGCCGTGCGCAAGGTGGTCTGGCCCGTTTCGCACAAGACATTCTCGCCGCTCTGAGCTCCCAGATGCTGCGCAAGAGGTGGTCCAGCCTGGGGGCCCAGAAGACCACATGTTACATATCCTCCCTGGGACCCTGGGAGCCCCAGGAGGCCCCAGAGAGCTTCAGGAGGCCGCAGGACGCCCAGGACATGCCCCAGGGGACCCCTGGAGATTCCCAGGAGGCTCCCAGGAGGCCCCAGGAGGCCCCCTATCAGAACGTGTCCAGTTAATACACATCCGGTGTCGATTCGTTGATTTTTCCTGCTCTTGTGGCCCCCTCCCCATTTTGGGTGGCCCCGACGGCCACATGTCAGATATCCTCCCCTGGGAGCCCCAAAAAGCTTCAGGAAGCCCCAGGTGGGGTCCAGGAGGCCACAGGAGGCCCAGGAGGAAGCCCCAGGAGGTCACCAGGAGAATCCAGGAGGCCCCAGGAGGCCCCCGCAACTCGGAGCTCTGAGACGCCGCACTCGAGGTGGTCCGGCACTTCCTCGCAGCACGTTTCGCCCGAGACACCGGCCCGTCTCGCTTGAGACATTCTCGCAACTCTGAGCTCTGAGATGCCGTGCGCAAGTTGGTCTGGCCCGTTTCGCACAAGACATTCTCGCAACTCTGAGCTCCCAGATGCCGCGCAAGAGGTGGTCCAGCCTGGGGGCCCAGAAGACCACATGTTACATATCCTCCTTGGGGAGCCCCAGGAGGCCCCAGAGAGCTTCAGGAAGCCGCAGGACGCCCAGGACAGGCCCCAGGGGTCCGCAGGAGATTCCCAGGTGGCTGCCAGGAGGCCCCAGGAGGCCCCCTATCAGAACGTGTCAAGTTAATACAAATCCGGTGTCGATTCGTTGATTTTTCTTGCTCTTGTGGCCCCCCTCCCCCATTTTGGGTGGCCCCGACGGCCACATGTTAGATATCCCCCCCTGGGAGCCCCAAGAGGCTTCAGGAAGCCCCAGGTGGGGTCCAGGAGGCCACAGGAGGCCCAGGAGGAAGCCCCAGGAGGTCACCAGGAGGCCCCAGGAGGCCCCAGGAGGCCCCCGCAACTCGGAGCTCTGAGACGCCGCGCTCGAGGTGGTCCGACCCGTTTCGCCTGGGACTTCCTCGCAGCACGTTTCGCCCGAGACATCGTCGCAACTCTGGGGTCCGAGATGCCGCGCGCGAGGTGGTCCAGCCCGTCACGCTGGAGACATCCTCGCAACTCTGGGCTCCGAGATGCCCTGCGCGAGGTGGTCCGGTCCATCTCGCCTGAGACATCCTCGCAACTCTAAGCTCTGAGATGCCGTTCTCAAGGTGGTCCGGCCCGTTTCGCACAAGACATTCTCGCAACTCTGAGCTCTCAGATGCTGTGCAAGAGGTGGTCCAGCCTGGGGGCCCAGAAGACCACATGTTACACATCCTCCCTGGGGAGCCCCAGGAGGCCCCAGAGAGCTCCAGGAGGCCGCAGGACGCCCAGGACATGCCCCAGGGGTCCGCAGGAGATTCCCAGGAGGCTCCAAGGAGGCCCCAGGAGGCCCGCTATCAGAACGTGTCCAATTAATACACATCCGGTGTCGATTCGTTGATTTTTCCTGCTCTTGTGGCCCCCTCCCCATTTTGGGGGGCCCCGACGGCCACATGTTAGAACCCCCCCCTGGGAGCCCCAAGAAGCTTTAGGAAGCCCCAGGTGGGGTCCAGGAGGCCACAGGAGGCCCAGGAGGAAGCCCCAGGAGGTCACCAGGAGGCCCCAGGAGGCCCCAGGAGGCCCCCGCAACTCGGAGCTCTGAGACGCCGCGCTCGAGGTGGTCCGGCCCGTTTCGCCTGAGACTTCCTCGCAGTACGTTTCGCCCGAGACATCGTCGCAACTCTGGGGTCCGAAATGCCGCGCGCGAGGTGGTCCAGCCCGTCACGCTGGAGACATCCTCGAAACTCTGACCTCGGAGATGCCGCGCGAGAGGTGGTCCAGCCCGTTTCGCCGGAGACATCCTCGCAACTCTGGGCTCCGAGATGCCCTGCGCGAGGTGGTCCGGTCCATCTCGCCTGAGACATCCTCGCAACTCTGAGCTCTGAGATGCCGTTCTCAAGGTGGTCCGGCCCGTTTCGCACAAGACATTCTCGCAACTCTGAGCTCTCAGATGCTGCGCAAGAGGTGGTCCAGCCTGGGGGCCCAGAAGACCACATGTGGCTCCCAGGAGGCCCCAGAGAGCTCCAGGAGGCCGCAGGACGCCCAGGACAGGCCCCAGGGGTCCGCAGGAGATTCCCAGGAGGCTCCCAGGAGGCCTCAGGAGGCCCCCTCTCAGAACGTGTCAAGTTAATACACATCTGGTGTCGATTCATTGATTTTTCCTGCTCTTGTGCCCTCCTCCCCCCCCCATTTTGGGGGGCCCCGACGGCCACATGTTAGATATCCCCCCCTGGGAGCCCCAAGAGGCTTCAGGAAGCCCCAGGTGGGGTCCAGGAGGCCACAGGAGGCCCAGGAGGAAGCCCCAGGAGGTCACCAGGAGGTCCCAGGAGGCCCCAGGAGGCCTCCGCAACTCGGAGCTCTGAGACGCCGCGCTCGAGGTGGTCTGGCCCGTTTCGCCTGAGACTTCCTCGCAGCACGTTTCGCCCGAGACATCGTCGCAACTCTGGGGTCCGAAATGCCGCGCGCGAGGTGGTCCAGCCCGTTACGCTGGAGACATCCTCGCAACTCTGGGCTCCGAGATGCCGTTCAAGATGAGGAGGAGGAGGAGGAGGAGGAGGAGGAGGAGGAGCAGGAGGAGGAGGAGGCATGTTTTAACATGCCATGCCAGCCCGCACTGGACGGGCACGCAATCGACCTTTGAAACCGCAGTGGGTCTAAAAACCCTGTTTGGGGATACTGCACTCCGGCTATAATTTATTTTCAGTTGCTCTTTAAAGGGTATTTCGCGTTCTCGCCGTCTCGGGCATTTGAAAACCCCTACCAGCCGAAGGTGCTCCTCAGACCAGCCCAAGATGTCTCCAACACGGCCCCAAGAGGGGCCCCAGATGGGGAAGTCGAAGGGGCTCCGGGGGACCTCCCTCATCCCCCCCAAGACGACGCCCAGGACACCCAATTTGCCCCCAGGAGGCCTCACAAGGCTCTCACGAGGCTCTTATGAGGCCCCCCGAGGCCTCCAAGAGGCCAATAAGAAGCTCCGATCATCATACCCCAAGAATCAACGCCCAGACTCGCGTTCCGGACGTGCACCCCACGAAGCGAGAAGAATCCACGTCCAGAAGCGACCTGTTGCCGGAGGCAGGTCTGCTGGACGCCTGATTCGCATTGTGTCTCTTACAAGATGCATGGGCAATCAAACAAAATTCAGTATCGCTACGCAGCACCCATCTTGAGTCTTCCCTCGCAAGCGCCACGCCACATCCGCAACAGAAGAACTGGCGGTCCCTCTTGGGCTCAGGATTGCGCCCAAATCGCCCCTTGGGCCCGAACATGGCTCCTATGTGTTCCAGGGTGGATCCAAGACGCTCCAGGTCGGCCATCTTGGGCTCCCACAGCCCAAGACGACCTTCAGGCGGTCCAACACGGGGCCCCAAGAGAACCCCCCCAAAGGCTTCGAGAGGCCAGACTTATGTATTCTCATTTTTTTTTTTTTTTTTTTTTTTTTTTTGCGTTCTCGCCTTTTCGGGCTTCAAGCTCAATACGACCCAAGCGGGCCCCCAGACTGGCGTTCTCGCCTTTTCGGGCTTCAAGCTCAATACGACCCAAGCGGGCCCCCAGACTGGCCCAAGACGGCCTCAGAAGGCTCGCCCCGAGTCGGCCTGAGGGGGCCCAACATGTCCCCCAAATGGACCCAAGATGGGCCCAAGGTGGGGAAGCAAAAGGCTCCCAGGAATCCTCACGCCCAAGAGGCCTCCAAGAGGCGCCCAATGCCAATCCCCTATAACAGGCCCGAGGATACCTCCGAACGTCCTCCTTCTCCTCCTCCTCCTCCTGCTGCAGAAGGAATATCCATGCGCCGCCAATCCTGCCCCCCTAGAGGGTGGGTTTATCTTGCAATGTCCTGGTGTGCGTCCTGGCTGACACGTCTCATACGTTCTTCGTCGTCCTCCTTCTCCTCTTCCTCCTCCTCCTCCTCCTCCTCCTCTTCCCCCCCCTGTCATACGATGCGGTCGCAACCACCAAATCTCATGCGTTCTGGACGTGCACTCCGCGCAGCGATAGCGATACTCGAAGGACAGCTCGTCGCTGATACGATGGCCCCGGTCGCGCTGCGCAAAACGGTCCCCGGCCTCGAACAGCCTCCCTTCGGCTCTCTGCGCGTTGCGGGCCGCATCCTCCGCGCGGTTCTCGTTGCCGTTGTTGCCCTGCCGGAAGAAAGGGGCGCTCTTGCCCTCAGCGTCTAGGATGGAGGCGTCCGCGGCAAGTAGGAACGCAGCCCAACTGCAAATGAACGGAGATGTCCCTGCTGGGACGTCCGTCCTCCGGAAAGACGCTGGCAATTCAGACCCAGCCTCGACCTCTGTATCGCCCATCATGACTCCCAGCTCGAAGTGGTTGTCGCTCGGCGCGTCCGACACGCCACCCATGCCGGTGCACATCTGATGGAACAACTTTTTGATCGAATTTGCCAATACGGGGGATCTCGTAGTCAACAAAATCGGACCCGGAAGCTCCTCCGCGTCATCCTCTTCGGCGACAGGGCGCTCCAAGTTCCAGTCTTTCTCCTGCTCGTGTAGATAATACAAAGCATGTGTCTGTACCGAAGTCTTGCCGCTTCCAGAGCGGCCCAGCAGGAACAGCGGCTCGTTTAATACCTTGGTCAAGGCGGCTCGCTCGTCAGCGTCCATGCAGAAAGGGAGCTGGACGTTCTTGAGCCCGTGCTCCTTGAGCAATCTTAAATGCCGCTCTGTCATGCTGAACCGCTTCTCC